ACAAAACAACTATCTGCTCCAACACAAAATGCCAAAGATATGAACAAGCAATTTACAGAAGAAGCTATGATATCAAGAGATGTTCAAAACTGTTACTAATCAAAGAAAAACTAAAGTGATAAGACATCACTTTGTACTTATTTGAAAAAGTGGACACTTGAACAAAGCCAAAGGTTGGTGGAACATGAGGACATAAGAACCTCACATGCTTCTTGAGGGAGGGACAGAGACTGGTGCAGCCATTTTGGAGATGAATCTGGCACCATTTAGTCAAATTCAGTCCATGCAAACCTAAAATCCAGCAGTGCTCTTCTGAATATATGCCCTACAGAAATATTATGCAGCTTTATAAGAGGAAATGTGTGAAGATGTTCTTTGCAGCAATATATGCGGTGTTGGGGAGATGGGTCAACCTAAGTATCCATACATCACTCAGAGTACAGGTAAGAACAACTGTGGTAGATACACAACAGCAGGGAGTGTGATGCAGCACTCAGAAGCAAAGAGTCAGATGCACACATAGCAATAGGCATGAATCCTGAAAGCAGTACTTAGGGAAAAAGAAACAAAATGCACTAAAGCGTTATAAATTAAAATACATAAATATAAAGCAAACACTTCCACTTTGCAAGATCCTACAGACAAAAAGATACCTGTGAAATGCATTAAAATGAGCACCTATGAGACATGAGGTGAGTGGGAATGGGGCAGAGGAATTTAAAAACAAGAAATCATTTAGACCCTTTGTGTGTTATAAAAGAATTCAAATGACCTATGATAAACACAAAATTAGAATTGTTTCCTTCCCAAAAGTTCCAAATTTTCCTAACAACAAAAGCTACTCTGGTTGCCAACTCTGTTGATGAGTAACAGCTTTTCATCCCTTTTCAGGCAGGAAGGGAAATTCAGGGATCAGCAGAGTATGAAAGAGATCAGCAGAGAATATTGACAGACCAGTGTTTTGTCTCATGCCCTGACAACTGGACTGAAAAGGACCTGATACCACTTGATTTGGGGTGATTCAGTTCAAGATGGGTTGGTGTCAAGTTTTCAGGTCACTTGAAACCATGTGCTTTTTTAGAACCTCTACCCACACAATCCTCTTGCCTCCCTGTTGAAATATTGCACAGAAACTAGAATCTCAAAATCTTGAACTAGAGGGGCTGGGGGACATAGCTCAGTGGTACAGCACTTTCCTGACATTCAGGAGGCCCTGGGTTCAATCCACAGCACTACTACCAAAACAGAACAAAAAATCTTTAGCTAGAGGAAATCATTCTATGGAAACAAAGGCCCAGAGAAGAATTTTGGTTTAGGGTCCCACAGCTAGACAAACTCCATCACTGAGCTACACCTCCAGCCCTCAACCCTTTCAACCATACTTCACCATCAGCTTCTCTGTTCAAACACCTATAAAGGCTTCTCCTTCACTCAAAGTCAAGGCCAAAATCCTTTAATGGCCTACATTGATGCACCTCTCCCCATTCTCACACCCTCTCATCTGTTGTCACTTTCTCCTCATCCACATTCAGCCTGCCTGGCCACCATGAATGATCTTGCCTTGCTGTCCCTCAAGTGTGCCAAACCTGCTATTGCATCAGAGCTGGGAACTTGCTCATCCTTTGCCTCCTGTACTCTCCCTCAACTCCTTGAAGTCTCAGATCAAAAGTCATCTCAGAGCAGGACACAGTGGCAAATGCCTATAATTCCAGATATGCAGGAGGTGGAGGCAGAAGGATTGCAAGTTTCAGGCCAGCTTCAGCAACTTAGCAAGTCCCCATCTCAAAATAAAAAGAAAAAGGGATAGGGTTATAGCTTTGTCTCTTTTGCTCACAATTGCATCCCTGCACCTATGACAGTGCCCAGCTCATACGGGTACTCAAAGAATATTGTTGACTGAGTCAGGACCCAAATGCATCCCTCAGACTTCAGAGTCCTGCACACCCCATTTGCCCCATTGTGCCATCAATTCTCTGTAGTCACACCTTTTAGTCAGAAGACCAACAAATCCAAAAGTGAAATGACACACTTTAATTATGTCTATTTTTACCTTCCAGGGTTACTCTTTTTAGCATCAAGGATAAAGTACCTAACCAGAAGTTAATGCCTTGGAGTGTTTAACAGCTCTTTCATTATAGAGCTGCTCAGTGATCTGGATTTAGGGCTGCTACTTTAGACCTCTCTGCCTTTCCAGGCAAAAGACTATCTCCTAATTAACTCCTGACCAACAAGACTACATTATCCTATTTTGAAAATTAGTTTATTCAGATATTTCGCTAGACAGAATATAATAAACTATCTCATATTAATTGAATTAATGTTGTGAAAATTTTCAGCCATATTCTGAATGAATTTTAAAGATGTTTTAGCAGAAAACCTAGCACAGGAGAAGTTCACTGGCAGTATCTTGTTATGATGCATGTTATAGGTAATATATTAACTAACACAATAATACTCCTAGAAAATAAATCAAGTCTTATACCTGGTAATGGGTACACAAATCTCCATTTGCATTCTATTTTAATATTTTAACATTTTTTAAAAATCCCCCAAATTTAAGACTAAAGTATCTATAGTTTGAAGTACTGCTTTTCATTTACTTTAGCCCAATACAGAGTGATTTGGAAGATTGGGGATAATAATGAACTTGAGGCAGGGTGCAGTGGTGCATACCCATACTCTCAGTGGCTCAGGAAGCTGAGGCAGGAATATCACAAGTTCAAGGCCAGATTCAGCAATTTAGCAAGGCCCTACATAACTTAGCAAGACTCTGCTTCAAAACAAGAAATAAGAAGGCTGTGGATGTAGCTCAGTGGTAAAGTGCCCTTGAGTTAAATCCTCAGTATCAATCAATAAATAAATATACAAACTTGACGCTTCACTATGCACCATCGCAAGAGGAGTTTCCTTCTGAGACAGAAGTAACAAGTTGCCTGGCTCTGGAAGCTTCCTATATGGTAGTTTTCAAGCATAGAGTAGATAAAAAATTAACCTGGGTCACTTAACCCTTTTTCAGAAGCAGAGACTCATAGAGTGTCACTATGTTGTAAGAATGAACACCTATGGGCTGAGGTTATAGTTCAGTGGTAGAGTGCTTGCCTAGCAATACCACATAAAAATAAATAAAATAAAGGTATTGTGTCCATCTACAACTAAAAATAATAATAATAATAAAAGAATGAACACCTACTCTTAGATCTTAGAGATCTTAGATGGTGATTCAAGAATCAAGATTCATCTTGTTCTCTAAGAGAAATAGTGTAAATTCAATGAGTGCTTTTTAAGGAGGTTCTGCATTGCCACATGGATGAACCAGGAATGTGAAGAGGATCTCTTCAGGTAAGAAGTGCACTCAGAGGAGAATGGAGAGAGAAAAGAGAGATCGGCCCTGCTTTGTGGCTGCAAGACAGATAACTCATACACATTTGAACAGAGTCTACAGAGATGATTATATTTCAGCCAAAAAATACAATATGAATGTTGCAGAAGAGCCATCTTATCACATTTTCTGAGTCAGGAGGTTCTTGGTTTATTGCAAAAGTTATGTTACACTGTACAGAACCTATTCCCAGGCCAGATTTAGCTCTTCTCCACAATACACCAAGTACTCCATTACAGTCTCCAAATTCAAATGAATTTAACACTAAAGTATTGGTAATCTGAAAATCACTTTTTACTTACTTTAGCCCCACACTGATAGAATAATAATGAATTTGAAGATCCACTATGCATCATGCAGAATTTTGAAACTGTTTTTTTCTTAAAACTTTTTGTTTTTGTCGCAATGAGTGACATGTGTTACATATTAACATGCAAAATCAGAGAATTTGAAAGGTAGAAGGGGAGCTTAGAGATGACTTAATTCAATATTTTAGAGAAAAAATGGGTGCTGAGGTATAAATTTAGTTGCTCATCACATTTACTCTGCGAGAATAAAGCAACACAGCACTGATTTTGAGAAATCACACCTGTATGTTGTCAGTACTTCAGATTTACAAAACATACTAATCAGTGCTATTCACCCCTTGTAACTCAGTTATGTAAATGAGCGGACTAAACTACGCTCAAACCCTAAATAATAGAGTTCCATTAACTTGTCACACGACATAGCATCGCTAATTATGAAAAGAAAGTGTTTCAACACAACATGTTCATATTACTGTAAAAGAATTACTATAAAACAGACCTAAAGTCAGCAATATTACAGAATAACACGAGTACCAAAAATATTTACCTTTCACTACAGTATAATTGAGACAGTAAAGGATAATGAGATTGTAGTTAAAGTTGGTTTTGGCTTTGATTTTGTTTTTAAAATTTAACTCTACATGCCAAGCATTCTTCACAGTTGCTAGTTTGCACCAGACCCTGGCTGTCTGGTAACTCCAATATCCCTTTATTCAAGTGACAGCATCTCTGACACATGGATGCTTGGCGGACATCAGTACCTGCAGCAGCAACACAAGTATCCGTGGGTACCTGCAACACTCCACCATGTAATCAAAGCTGCATCTCCAGCTAAACAGGTCCTACTCTTGCTTGGGAAACTAACCATCCTATCCCCCGACGCAGAATCACGGACTCCCAGACCCACGGGCAGCGTGGCTTGGCGCATTTGTAAAAGCAAGGGGCTGGGCTAATGCCGAACTCTTTCCAGCTCTCCGATTCCGCCCCAGTGCCGAGTGGCAAGGCGGTGCAGTGGAAAGAGCCCCGGGCTTGACAACACTTGAAAAGCCCACGTCCGCGCCCTCTGACTGCTCTCCAGCCCCGGGGGCCCGCGGCGGCCTGGCGGTCCGCTACAGGACCGCGAGCCGGCCCGCGGCGCCCACCGCCCAGAGCGGGCTCCGGACGCCGACCGCGGCGTCTCCCGGGAAGGGGCGGCGCAGGCCCGGCCGCGCGGTGCGTCCCGCCGGGCTGCGGTACCCTCTGCCCGCGGCCCTGGACAGCGGCCCCGGCCCCTCGCTCGGCCCTGCCAGGCCCCGGCCCGGCCCGGCCCTGACCTGCTCTTCGCCGCCCGGAGGTCCCTCGGCGCGGCTGGCAGTGGCGGCCGCCCGTCCCGGGCCCGCTGTCACCTCCGCCCCTGGCAGCAGTGGGCGGACCGATCCCGTGTGACTCAGCGCGCCGCCCCGCCTACCGCCTCATGCCGGGGCTTCCGCCTCGGCCGGCGCTCCAGCTGCCCCGGGTCTCCAAGCTCCGCTCCCCGCGCGCCCACCTCCCCGGCGCCCGCCCCGCGCTCACGCCCCCTGGTGGTCGGCCTGGCCCAGCCGCCCCACGACGTCAGAGAGGCGGCGCTCCGAGCGCCTCTGCTTGGGAAACTGAGGCACCGGGACTCCGCTACAGCGGGGCATTCAGCCCTCGGGGCTGCTCGGGCTAGGAGTAAGTTCCTCACCCCCACGCCACCAGTCAACTAGAAAAAAAGAACGTTTCCTTCAGAGAAGCCCAATCCCATTCCTGTTTGTGATGCTGTCCTCTTTGCTCCCTTCAGGCAGTTTTCATTACCCTGTCACACAATACTCGCTGGTGTTCACTTCTGTCCATTCCACTCTCTCCCTGTCACCCCGCTCCCACACCACCACCACCACCCCTCCATCCCCACCAGGGAAAGTCTCAGTTCAGCTTTGAGAATTTAAGAGCAAGGACCAATACAAGAAGTAGGCAGGGATGAGAGAACACCCCATATATCTCTCGAATCCCCCACGAGATTTCTTCTTTGTGCATAAAAGATCACAGATCACAAAGTCATTTTGCTTGGCCATGTTGTTTGAATTGATGTGTTGTAAGTTTCTAGGATCTAGGAGATTCTAAAGAATGCAGCAGGTCTATCGCCATGCATGCAGAGCAGAGATAAGCGTTTATTTTAAAAATTTCACTGGATATGTTATTTCCCTTTCCTCTGCTTTTTTTAATCATTATGAAATTTATCACCCTAACCATTTTTAAACTTGCAGTTCAGTGGCATTAAATGCATTCACACCGATGCAACCATCATCACCATCCCTCTCCCAAAAAGAGAGCTTTTCATCTTCCCAAAAGGAAACTGTCCCCATTCCCTACCTCCTGATAATCACCCTTCTACTGTCTGTCTCCATGAATTTCACTATTCTGGATGCATCACATGAGTGGAATCACACAATACTTGTTCTTTCTTGTTAGGCTTATTTCACTTAAAATAATGTCCTCACAGTTCATCCATGTTGTAGCATGTGCCAGAATGCTTTTTAAGACTGAATAATATCCATTGTTCCTATAATACCACATTTTATTTATGCATTCATCCTTTGATGGACATTTAGGTTGTTTTTACTTTTAGACTGTTGTGAATAATGCTACTATGAACACTAATGTATGGTATCTACTAAAGTCCCTGCTTTGAATGTTTCTTATATCTCCATCCAGAAATGAAATTGCTGGGTCAGATGGTAATTCTATGTTTAATTTTTCATGATATTGTTAAGCTGTTTTTCTCCTTTGCTTTTTGAAGCATGTGAATACTGAGGGGAGAAAATTTTGTAGTAAAATATTAATGTTGTGGGTTTTGTTAAAATTTTTAGAAAATACTTCATTTGTCTGTAAAACTGTGACTTTTCCTCAAGAAGGTAATTAATATTATGCAAGGTTGTACATGCCTGTAATCCTAGCTACTGGGGAAGCTGAGTCATGAGGATTACAAGTTCCAGGCCAGCCTGGGCAACTCAAAATAAAAACTAAAAAGGGCTGGGGGATGTAACTTGGTGGTATAGCACCCCTACATCTAATCCCCCGTACTAAAAGAAAGAAACAAAATAGAAAAGAAAGCTGCAAATCTATTGCCTTTATTTTTGAATAACAATATCATTTTCCAAAATAAAAACATTAACTATAGTTTTGTTTTTTGCAGATATACTTTTCTAATGATTTTTTGAGCCAAATACGCATATGAAATCAAGATGAAGTAAAAAATCAAGCTTTTCATTTTAAAAATGTCAGATTGTCTTAACATATACTTATCCCAATCTAAACTTTTTTTTTCACCTAAAAGAGTCAATTTCAAAATAATTTGATTATTGAATCTCAGAAGTAGGTTCTTTAGTGTGTACGTTGAAGTTTAAGAATGACTGACTTAGTCCCAGCAGCCTTGGAGGCTGAGACAGGAGGATCACAAGTTGGAGAGCTGCCTCAGCAATTTATGGAGGCCCTAAGCAACTTAGTGAGAGCTTGTCTCAAAATAAAAGGGCAGGGAATGTGGCTCAGTGGTAAAGCACTCCTGGGTTAAATCCTCATTACCAAAAAAACAAAAAACAAAAAACTGACTTTGGACGTTTCAAAGATTCTAAAACATCAAAGATAAAATAATATTTTCCCACTCATCAAAGATTTGCTGTATTTTAATGATGTAACAGGAGTTTTTCTACGTGTCTGGGATTCAGCCTGATCAACTGTTGGGGTAAACACAAATCAGTGCCTAGGAAGTCTTAGGCCTGGTGAGATAAGGATTCTCAAGAATGTGATAATAAAGAAAACAGAGAAGGGAAACTGGCCATTTCCCTTGACTCCAATCTTTTTTTTTTTTTTTTTTTTTACTACCAGGGATTAAACCCAGGGGCACTTAAGTACTGAACCATTCCCAGCTCTTTTTAAAATTTTTTTGAGACAAGGCCTCACTAAGTTGTTGAGGCTGGTATCAAATTTGGAATCCTCCTGCCTCAGCCTGCCGAATTATTGGGATTACAGGCATGCACCACCATGCCTGGCTTGCCTCCTATCCTTAAGTGAAGATCAAAGCAGAGCAACCTTGGATGTAAAGTAAAACAATATACTCATAAAACATCTGAAGAAATCCACTGTATAGTGAGCATGTGACCTATCCCATATATTTTCCTTGCTTGTAGGTGTGATGCAGCACTCCAGCCTGTTACCATGGTGGAACAAGTAATAAAATGTCCAAAGCCTCTCCATAGTCTTCCAAGTTCTTTCTTTTGGAATGTTAAACAGTACACTGGGGGTTTTGTAGCCTTAAGGTTGAACACCAACACACACAACAAGCTCCCTGTTCTCATGGAGAACATACTAGAGAGATGTGACAGACAATAAAGAAATAAATAATAAACAAGACAATCATGGGTGTGGGGAGTGTTTTGAAGGAAATAAACCAGATGATATGATAGATTAGATTCAGAGAATTAAACCCTAATGCCCTAGGCATTCACTGCATGTAAGGAACTAACTTTTCTTCTTTGCAACAGGCATGGTACAAATTATAAACAGTCTTTGAGAAGACTGAGAAGAGTCACTCGACACACTGTCTGTGTACTGTGGGTCAGGGAGGGATCTAGGCTGATACAGGGCAAAGACATATGTGGGAAACTTGTTTGAATATAAAGTGGGTGGAGAAGTCCATCTTGGAGATGTAATATTTTCTTGAGATAAGATTGATGTGAAAGAATCAGCCATATAAAGAGCTGAGGAGGCTCTTTTCAGAAAGAGGAACTGCAGGTGAGAAGCCTTGAAATGGAAAGCAACTTGATAAGTTTCAGAAACAGAAAAGAAGTCAGTGTGAGCAAGTGAGCTGGTATTATTTGAGATTAGAAGGCAAACAGGAGTGAGGACCATTCTAAGCAGGTAGAAATTCCAGGCCTCAGTAAGGAGACTGAATGTTATGATAAATCAATATATTGATGCATGATAAATATCTCCCATTGAAGGGACCTGAAATGAAAAGGATCAAGAGAAAACAATGTGTGTGAAACTGCTTTGTTATCAAGGACAATATCTACATATATGATATTAAATCTGAAATGTATATACTTATCCCTCTACTCCTGATAAGCCTTAATAAAACAAATCATAGAATGGCTCAATTTCTGTGTATTTTGATTCATCTCATTGATTAAAGCTATTTGAGTGTGCCATCCTTAGATCTTGTATCTAAACCAAAATCCAATCTGACAGGATGTCCTGCATCTGAACTTCCACCGCTATGATGGGCAGCATCACAAAATAACAGCTGAGCACAGCTTGGCCCCATAGAAAAGCCACCTCACTCTGGCTTCATCCTGCAATATGCCACATCATAGACATAAGCTGCTGTTGACAATGGCAGCAGATGAGAAACTAATCAAAGTCGGCCTTGCTCATGGTGTCTAGCTGCTAATCCTGAAGCATCCAGGGGCTCAGCTCCTTCTTATTCCTGTTACTAAAGAAGATACTTAGAGGTAAAATACAGAAGACATAGGTTTGAATTCTGCCAGGAAGGAAGAGGCATTATATGGAAACAATTATTAACTATTTATCAAAATGGTGCCAGAATGCATCTGGGAGTCTCAGATGGAGGTAGAGGAGGGTCAGTACTCAGGCTGGACGGGGACAAGCAGGGGAAGTCCTGTGCCCTCAGAGAAGCCATGAGTCAGGATGGTTTTGATGGGAGCATCTATCTGGCGGGCTTCTGCTAGAAGACAAGAAAGGCCATTTGGTTCGACTTAGGAATAGACTTCAAGGGGCAGGAGTAAAGCCATTTCCTGTTTTGTTCTTCCTAGAAGAGGAGGGCCCTGTGAGGAAGTTTCTAAGTTATTAAAAAAAAAAAAGGACTCAAATTTCTCTTCAGGGCTGCTATGATATGTTTATATAATGTTGCCATGGGTCTTTTTTTCTTCCTACCTACTTGCAGAAGCTTGAACTGCTTTAATATAAAGTAGAAAATTATTTCACACTCAGAAATAAAAACCATTCTAAATGACAAACCTACCTTACCATAAAAATGCCTGGTATGGAGACTGGGGTTGTGACTCAGTGGTACAGTGCTTGTCTAACACATGTGAGGCACTGGGTTCAATCCTTAGCACCACATATAAATAAATAAATATTGTGTCCCCCACAAAATTTGCCTGGTGGGAGTGATATTTTTGGAAAAACTCATTCATCTTATATATCTGTCAAGATATATCTCTTCCTGTTTATAGGAAGAGACAAGAAAGAAAGAAGATATTTAAGGATCTGAAAGGATGAAAGGAATAGAGAAAACTGCTTTTTGCCAATAACAAATCTTTTTTTTTTTTTTTTGGACAGGGTTTGGCTCAAT